AACTTGAAGATTGTTGTTCTATGGAAGATGTGTTCATCCATCCACAATTCTCAAAATTCTTGGGGCAGAGGACCACAACAATTAAACTAGTGTAAAACTGCAGCGAACCAAATACATCAAGGACTGCTTTCGCTCATTTAGCAAGAGTTAGACATAGCAGCTAAATGAAGCTGTTCGGCAAGCCAAAGCTTATAAATCTTTGTGTTCATTCAGGTTGCCATTTTCTGCACACTTGCCTATTAGTAATCCTAGGATTACACTGAATAAGAAAAATAGAGTAGAGCTCCCACAATCTGTACCTGACACTTGCTGGTCATTCTGTACATGCTTAAAGTACGCTTGCTTTTATGAAGGACACCACATGTTCCCAAGTTAAACCTTTCTATCCAATACTGGCTGTAGGGCCAACTCTTGGTACAACTGAAGACCCAACAGTCTTGTAATTGTATGTCCTCCTGTTTCCTATTCTCTAACTAGCTGGACGAGTAACAGTGCAACCAGTGAGCAGTTATCTGAAGTCACTCCTGCTGGGTTCAGCGGCTTTTACAATTAGCAAGTTGTGCATTTGATTGCTGTTAGCTAAATGTGAGCTCACTGGTGCTTTATTTATTACATTTCTACCCTGCCCACTAGCCAAGATGGGTAGCTTAGAAAAACATTTAATAACATACACAAGGAAACAATAGAATTAAATCTAACATACATACTACAACAAAACTGTATTAAAGCGGTTTAAATCAGAAGGTATTCAGTTAAGCCAATAGCTTATCTTGCCTATTTTATTTGCAAGATACAGTTTTAAACAGCACAAACAGACACCCCTGTAGACCTGGAAAGAACTGGCAGGGCAATTTTATGGATGTTTACTTGGACATAAATTCCCCTGCATCAAAGAGGCTTACTCTCTGCTACATGTGATCAAAATTGCAGGCTAAGATTCTCTTCTTTAAACCATAACATAAACTGGTAGTCTTGACTTAAAAGTACTGTTGGCCCCTGACCTGTTACTGGAGTAACAGTTCTGGATTTCCTCCCTCCAATATTTTGGCAGCAAGGATGAACACCAGGCACAGATGTCCTACTTTAGCAAATGCTTTCATGCATGGTATAGGATGAGCTGAATCCTACGATGTGCGGGAAGAAAAGGGTGGTGCACAAGCAACCATACAGGCAACCCGACAAGAATCCCTCTGCACCCCAAGATTGCGATCTGCTGCCCTGCATCAGTACCAGAATGTCAACAACCACACAGTTGCATCTGTAGAAGGTTCACAGCTTTTTGGTTGTCTCAGCGCAACGTTCCCCAACCTGGTACCCTCTTAATGTGCTGGACTACATCTTCCATCATCCAGCAAGTGAGGCCAAGACAATGGGCATTGTGATATAACACTGTTGACCAGCATCAGCTTGGGGAAACTTGACCTTGAGGGTAGATTATGTTTTTGCTTCAATATGGACTCTGATGGATCACCATATTCAGGCTTGGGAAAGTTTGCCTTCAAGCCAAGCTGACTGGGAGGAGACCCAGGTCTTGTCTGTTTTATTTGTTGACTGATTGTTGTGCTTCTGCCTGCAACAACATTTCTCCTGCAATCTGTTTGGTTTCACTGGCTGAGCTCAGGCAACATGACAAGCAACGGAGGCTCTTCGCCACGGTCAGTCTGACGTCTTGTCTGACCCCAGCTGTGGTATTTCACTGTGCTAAGTTGGCTATTTAGAAGCAATAAGAAAAAAGCCCTGTTTCCTCTGGGTTTTCTCCATACCACCATGGCTGGCTATTTTGTCTGAACCCTGGATTATGGTTTCCATGGTCCTGGTATGCAACTACCACAGAGTCCCCTAGAAAGAGTGGCAACTGCTGGGGCTGCTCCAGCCATTCAGACTCGGTGTGCAGACCAGTGCAGAAGAGGCAGCAACACAAGCGGGAAGTGATGCACTTTGCCATTGGATTTCATGTGTGGTGGCTGATGAGACATGTGCCAACACCAGGATGCCAGGACCAAGGCCTGACTAGCCCAGCGAGTGTCTGCAGAACCAGGAACGCCTTTGCAGGCACTTGCAAGCAGCAGCCAAGAGGCGATCCCGCCATGCAGCTGAGGTCCTGGAAACCCACATAAAAGGTCTCTCTGCCTAGCAATGCAGGCTGTCCCTATGGCGTCTGGTGCTTCGGCTCCTGCATCTCCCTGCCTGGCCCTCGTTCCTGCCTGCTCTGGCGAGTCCCTGCCTTGCTCCTGCCACACTCCAGCCCATTCCTGTCTGTCCCCATGTCTTCCCTCCCCAACCACCTGCTCACAACTGCTCCCCTGGCATTTGACCCCTGCACTGCTTATGGACTGTGTTCTCTCTCACACTATATTGGACTGCCCGCTGTCTTGCTTCAGATCCAGGACCACTGACCATGCTGCTAGCCTCTGGCCCTACAGATCTGTGCAGCCCCAGTGCACACCAGTGCCCTGGTCCCAGCACTGTGCCTGCCCCCGTCAGCAGCCCATGTCTGGGTCCTCACACAGGACAGAGCAGGGAGGATGGAAGCCACCTGTCTGTCAGGGTGGGACCTCAGGTGCCATCAAATCTAAACCCCTTTTGATGCAGGAAATCCCTTACAGAGGTCTCTCCCTCTAGAGCAACAGAGAACAAATCGCTTCTATCATCTGACAATTCTTCCGACATTTGAAAATGCATACCCTAACACCGTTTGTCTCTTCTCCGGATTGAACAGAGCACACTCCTCCAACCTTTCCTCATAGGTCATGGTCTCCAGGCTCTCCTATAACCATGCTCCAGAATGTTGAGCACCTTCTTAAACTGTGATCTCCAAAAGTGGACACAGGATTCTTTTACTACAAGAATTTAAACACAACATTAAGTGGGGTAATGTTCAAATAATCATAATCAAGCCAAATATCATAGTTCAAAGCAGTTATAATTCTAATAATGATAAAACAGAGCAAAAGACTAACATTAAAAATTGGAGAGTATGAATTCCAAAGTATTTTAGATTAAGAGGAAGCAATCAGGTATTTTGTATAATTTCCAACAATTAATGATCTCCATCAACAGAGCATACAACCACCAGTCTCTTACCATATACATATGGTATATATATGCATATATATACAAAGAGAACCGAGCACCTTTCCTGTAGGTAATGTCACTTGCATGCTAACAGAATGTGAGACATTTCAAATTCTTGTCACTTTCTAAGGCTATCAAAACATAATTTATCCACTACCTCTACAATTTTGTTTCCCTCAGTCATCCTGTCTTTTCTTTATATTGCCTCCTTTAACATCAAGCTACTAAGTAATTTTTAAAAAATCTATGGCTCCTTATTTTTTTCAGCATAACTAAATAGCCCATCAATTCAAACTGCACATGCTGTTCCAAGTACTTTTTTTTAAATAGCTTCTCTAAAAATCCTGCTATGTTCTGTCCTTCCAGATCTTCCTCAAAACTTCTTAATTTTAAACTACATTCTCAATCTAGTTCCTTTATCCTACCCTTAATCTTAACTGAATCAACTTCATGATTTATATAGCACCCAATAACCAAAAATGCCTGGGCAGGTCACAGCCTGATAAAGCAAAATACTAAAACTTCCTCATTCAGAAATATGAAATCGTTTTTAAAAAGGTAAAAGCTACTTTGCATGTCAATAGGAGGACCCTGATAGGAAAGCAAACTGTGCTATCATATGCTGTCAAACAGCTGGGAGTAAAGGAGAGTCTTTAATAGGCTCTGAAAACAATAACAATGTAGGCACCAGGAGGGCCTCACTAGGGAGAACATTCCATGATGGGGAAGCACATCTTGCCAAGGTCATCGAACGAGAGCGTTCCTTCCAGTGGTCCTATTTGCACTCTGCAGACAAGGGGGAAAGTGCCAGATTCCATGCGGAAGCCAGATCTCTTTAACAGAATGACACTTGTGCTGCTGAAAAAGAAAGAAATCACAAGTTGAAACTCCGCCTGGTTGGAACTTTTTATCCCCACCCCAAGATCTCAGGAGAATATCCCACCCCCAAATAACTCTTAGGAGAATACTTTCCCCCATCTTGAAGTGTGTTGACAAACACTTATCTCTGGATTCCTTTCCGCCTCCTTAGAGAGAATCGAGGGGGTGGGGAGCAGAAGAGAGAGACGACTTGTCCAGACCTAACAAAGACGTTTTACAGCTAGCCCCTCTGGCCCCATATCCCACCCCATCGGTATTAATTACACTGACGGTTCGTCTTCCTACAGAATTTTAGGTACTCTCCAGCCCAGCCCAGCCCAGCCCACCGTCCACCCTAAGGGCTGACAGCCATTTCAACCGCGGACTTCCTATCCTCCTCCTCCTCGCAGAGGTGAGAAAAATAGACATGCCCCGACCTGCCGGGGCCTCGTCTCCGACCTCTTCCCTTCGTGCCACGCGGGGCTGCCGGGCGGGCCAGTGGGCGGAGCCCCGCGCCGAAACAGCTGCCTCCTGTCCTCGCGACTTTCCCTTAATGAGGGATGTCCCCCAGGGGCTCCGTGACGTCGCCGAGCTCCGAGGCCAATCGGGGGCGGCGATGGGCGTGGTTCGGGAGATGGGCGGGGGAGGAGGGGGCGCGGAACAACGCGCCTTAGGCATTTCTCTCTGGCGAGGCGCGGGGTGGAGAAAAAGGGCGCTCGATCGGGGACGAGGAGTGGCGTCTGCGGCTGGGTCGTGGGCGAGCGAAGGGCTCCGAGGAGGAGGAGGCGGCGGCGGCGGCGGAGCTCCTGCTGCGGGATCGGCGTCTCTTCGGCTCGATCGGGGCAAGGACACTGCAGCCCCGAAGCATGAGGCTGTCCGCTTCTGCCAGCCGCCACCACCGCCGCCGCCGGCGCGCCTCCCTCGAAACCCGGCAGCGTCCCCTCCAGCTCCCCGGCCAGTAGCGGGGGCCTCTGGATGGTGGCGGTGTCGCCGCTGCTATTGTGCCTCGACGCTTCTCCGCTGGGGCTCCAGCCGCCGCCGCCGTTGCGAGTCCTGTCCAACTTTGGATGATGACGATGAACTCTTTGGCCGAGACCCTGCTGGTGGGGCCGTCGGACCCGTCCAAGGCGGGCTTCCTGGACTTCGGGCTTGGGCCCCCGCCCTCGCCGCAGCAGCAGCCCCAGCCCCAGCAGCAGCAGCACCCGGCCGGCCTGGCGCCCCCTTACACTCTGCAAGCCTTGCACCCCTTGCAGCCGCCGCAGCAGCAACAGCAGCCGCTGGACGGCAGCGCGTTTCCTCCCTCTGCCGCCTCGTACGGCAGGTCGCTGGCTTATCCCCGCTATCCCGGGGCGGCCGGGGGCAGCCCCCACGCCTTCTACCACCACCACCATCACCACCACGGCGCCTCCTACTCGCCTTACCAGCAGACCTCCAGCGGCCTGGGCCACGGGACGAGGCTGGAGGAGACGGGTAAGGCGAGGCGGGTTGGCCGGGGGGCTGTGGCGGGTGGGTGTGGGGTCTGGGAGACGGCAACAGGCGGGGAACCCGCTCGATCACCCCTGCTTCAGAGGCGCCACCTCCACGGGACCGCCCCGTTCCAGTTCAGATTGTTTGATCCAGAGTAGAGGCTTCACACGAGCATCTTCCCGCTGTCCATCATCCACTCCTTGGCCTGTCCTTCAAACTGGTAGTTGTGTGAAAGGGCGAGTCGTGTGTGTGTGTGTGTCGGGGTGGTGATACAATGGGAGGAAAGTGGGACACACTTTGTTTTGTTGGGGGCAGAATTTGAGGAAGGCTAGAGTTTCCTGAGTAAAATCCAAGTCCTCTTTCCAATATACCCTTAGAAATGAATGGAATTTAAGTTAACAATTTATTTCTATGGCTTATTTTAGGTGGGACTTGCACTGGATTTTACCTTTACTGCCAAATGTTGCGATGTATCAGTTGAACAGAGATAAACACGGACTTTAAATGCAACTCTTGCCCTGGATGTCAAAAAAACATCTGGGGGAGTGGAAAACAGGAAGTTATACTTTAATGAGTATTTCATATTGGTTTGTGTTTGTGTGCTGTCAGGCCTGTACTGGCTGCAGTATACATCTGTAATGTGATGCTAGGCAGGTCTACTCAAAAGAAAGTCCTGCTGAGTCCAGAGGCACTTACTTCCAGGTGAGCAAGTGCAGGGTTGCAGTCTGCGTTCACTCCTGACCTGCTTCTCTCTTTCCTGCATTCATTATACAAGTGAAGTATTGATTACAAAAGCATTCACTGATATGTATGGTGAGAAGTATGAATTGCACATTACTTTGCACCCTAAAAGGGCTCCAGAAAGTGCTGCAGTTTCAAGAGGCAGAAACATAAAGATGGCTTATCGGATGTACAATATAAAGCAAAGGTTGAGCCCTCTGGCTGCAGGGACTCATGGTGTGTAGGGTTTTCTAGCCCTGTATGCAGTTCTTTCTGTCCCTCCACTTCTCAGGAATAAACTTTTACCTGAAATCAATCTCAGTCCCCAGCTGCAAAGGCTCATAGGTGTGGATATTGGAACATTTGCCCTGGGGGCAGCCCACCTGATAGACACCAAAACATTTGTGGGGGAGGTGGATACAGATCTCTGGGGGGATCCCTCTCTGGGGAGGGAGTGAAATTGGTAGTTATTGAGCACAATTGTGATCCTGGGGAAAACTTCCTTAGCACTTCTTCTGACAACCTTCATAAACTAGAATACCTTCCCAGACCTGGTTGGAGATGATGGGACTTGTAGGTCAACATATCCAGGGAGCATCTCCAGTGATTATTTATTACAAGTTTCCAAAAGGTTCAGAACAGCTTAGAATGCCTTAAAATAAGTGTTAAGCTGCCTATATGGTGTTTGATTGCAGATGTTCTTGCCTTAGCAAGGGGGAGTAATTTGACAACTGACCTTTGGTTTCCTCCTGGTTCTGGAATACTGTTTTGCTTTGAGACTTGGCTCAGGTGACCCTCCGCATCCCAGTTAGATGGCTGTGATCAACAAGTCCCAACCTTTCTGGATCGGTTTCTCTGTCTGTAAAATGGTCAGAATTTTAGAGTGCTGCCAAGGAGGGTTTGATTCTTTTGTAAGACTAAAGTTGATACATGACTTAAAGAGCCAATATTGCAGGCTCAGGCTTATTTTCCTACTCCCTTGTCCTCATCCTCCATTGAAATGAAGTCTGAGTTCTTGTGACTGCGCTTGTTTATGATCACTCCTCCTAACTCTCCACTCACCCCAGCGCTATCTCCCTCCTTGCTGACATTTAAATCTTAAGTGCCTCTAGGCACAGCCCTGCTGTCTCTCTCGCTTGTATTGCTCTGTAAAACTACCACATGCATTGATGGTGCTATATAAATAACATGTCACAAATGGATGAGGCTGGTTAACCCACTGAACAATTCCAGCAGCAGGTCTTAAGTGCATGTTCTGGGGCCAAATCCTGGCTGTTTTCAGTTTGGTCTGTTATGGGCCACGTGCAGAGTGCCTTTCATGCTTTACCAGTCAGCAGGTTGGAGACTGAACTTGATCCTAGAAATCATCTTGCAGCATATGGAATGCCAGCATTTTCCCAAAGAACTGGGGTTGGAGTGCTACAGGATCCTTCCTTCAAACAAGGACCTAGGAGGCTGGTCAAGCTAAAAGAAAAGCGACTGGCCCAAGGTCACCCAATTAGTGGAAATTTGAAACCAGTTCTTCCTGCCTGCATGCGCAACTCTAAATATAATGCACTAGTCCCCTCATCTCTGTTTACTTCTCTGGGCCCCTTTGAGCTCATCCATTTATGAATTTTCTCTATTAGCTTCATAGCCCCAGGCTCCTTTCAGGGCGAAATATTTTCCATCTTCAGGACTGTCATGAAGTGTTTCTGTAGATTAAACCATTTCTGCATTTTGGTTCAGAGGGAGACCCTTTCTTACCACCACCCATCTCCTTCTGGATGTGATGGATATTTTCCCCCATCTCATTTCTTCTACTCCTGCCATAATATTGAGGGATATCATCAAAATGAGTCCTTCAGGAATGTATCCCAAAGATTTTGGAAGGCCACATTGCCAAATACTTAATCTCCTTCCAAAGAGTAGCATTTTAAATAATTTTGACAAAATCCAGATGTCTCCTGAAACATCAGGGCAAACTGTGCGGAATCCTTTAATGAAAAACTCCTTGAGCTTATTTATGTTAATATTTAATGGAAAAATATTAATATTTCCCTTGCTCATTTTGCATTGCAAATTGCAATCTTTTGCATGCAGTCCACAACCAAATTGGCTTCAAACTGAAATTCCAACAAAGTGTTCTTTTTTAATGGAAATCTCTTGTGAGACAATGAACTGCAGTGGGTGATTTGTGTGTCTCTGTGTTTGTATTTTTAGGCCCTGCTGAGTTTTGAAAAAAAAAATATTGGATTTAAAAGAAGCAACTGATCTTAAAAACAAACAAAAGTTTTCAAGTCACTCAGTGGTTTGTAAATGGGAAACATGTGAATATTGTAATTCAAAACATTTTCTTTGTTTTATTTTTTAAAAAATCTGAAATGGAAATGTTAAGGTCTGATTTTTAATTTTTTGTAGGGGAAGGATACATGAAATTTGATTATGAGGGGGAGAGAGGGCCCCCTACAACCTTATGTTCAGGATTTCTAACATTCCAAGCCCTCTCCCACTTCTTTCTGTATTCACAGATGAGAGTGTTTCAGAATATAAAGGTGAAATGACAGCCTGCTCTACATATTTAAATTACTATAACAGTAGTTTTGCACCAATACATGGGCAGACTTGTCTTAGATGCTGGATCTGACCCCCCAGGAAGAAAGGTCATAATCCCCATCCTTTAAACAAGAGATGTTGGAACTCTTTCCAGAGGAAATCCACCAAAAGGCAAAACTTCCAGAATTCCCTATCACCCCATTTGCTAAACTTAAGGGGAATGCAAGATAGTTTGGCTTAACTGGTTTCTTGATTACTGGGGCAGAGGCCGGGCTGGGGAAGTGGGGAGCAGTCAACTTGCAAGAACTTGTGTCATCCCAAAGAGGTGCTTTTCACTTCCTGTCTCCAGCTGCCCTATGAAAGGTGAATTTCTAACACACTGAAACTTTTAGAAATGTTCTGAGGCCCACCTGCTTAAAAAACATAGGTGTGACATGGGGTTTGAAGCTTAGTAGCTTTTCCATGTTGAAGAATCCGCGAATGTCCCTGAATGTGTAAAAGATGCGTTGCCACTTCTACTGAATGATCAAAGGGTGCCCGTCTGAAGCTGTATCTCTGCAGATTGAAGTCCTGGCTCCCAGTCAATCCAATCGCCCCCCTCCTGGGCCCACTTCTTTACAAGAAAGAATTAATGAAAGAAAGAAACCCTGAATGCTAACCCAGAGCTTCCCTGGGGTGCATGTTTATATCGCTGAATTCCTGGACTTGTTTCTTCTTAATTGGCACCTGTCAAGATCGGCAAGGGAGATAGTTGATGTCTGAATGATATTCCAGGCAATCCTGTAGCCACACCAGGGGGAGCCCCTGGAAAGGGTTATTGTTCCGTTGGCCCCTTGGCTGGAAAACAGCGTTTTATTTATTGCGAGCGTGACGAGCGCACCGGCAACTAATTAGCTGCCGCACTTAATTTGAAAGGCTGGTAATTATTCGGTGCAAGATTAAGAGTTTTGGCAACCCCCTGCCAAGGCGCTCAGTCACGCCGCGGAGGAGCGGGAGGCCTTCGCCTTCCCCCTGGCCCGCGGCTCCCGTGCGCCAGCTTGGCGCGGGGACTGTCTCCGCCGGGGGGCTCCCTCCGAAGCGACGGCGCCCCGAGGCCCAGCGCTGGCGCAGGCTGCGGTGCGCTCCGACGGGCTCCTCCTAAGTAGGCCTCGTCGACATGGAGGGGGCGTCTACCGAAAGGGGCGCGGGATTAGGCCGCAGTCCTCCGCCCCCTTACCTGGGGGCGGCTAACCCAGTGGGGTTCACTCCGAGTTAGACGGCTAGGGTTGCCCTGCTGGTCAGGGCGCACGCCCAGTTCGTGGGCCACGTCGGTTTTCGACTCGCACAGCGATCCTCATCAGCCACGAGGGAAAGTAATCCGTTCGCACGTGCTGCAAGGAACAGAACGGCTCTTTTCTCACTTCGAAGGGTTTACGCGGGCGGAGTGCACGCTCGGGTTGCTTCATTTTAGTTACGACAGATCGTCCTGCGCCGCCCTCCAGTCCGGCGGTTTACAACGCGTACTTTTGAGAGGCTCCACCTAAAGACCTCCCGAGTTCCCTGGCTAGAAAACGCATTTCTCCTCCATTTACGAGCCGTAGGGAGGAGTGGGGTGAACTTGCACACTCCGGATGTTTCGGGACTGCAGCCCCTATCAGCCCGATCCGGAATAACGGGGGGTGGGGAATGTGGGTACTGCAATCCAAAACCCGTCCACGTTCCTCGCTGTGCTTCAGAGAGCGACAAGCCCGCGCTATTTGCTCGGAACT